TAATCCATTTCTGAGAGCGTTCTATGGTTAGGCTAGCTACTTGCTGTCCAAATAACACGTTCAGTTCTTTACTTAGATTTTCGTAGTGAGCGCCTAAGACTGAAATCAAAAACTACAGTGTTCTAACTTTATATCCTGGATATAAGTTCTTTATTCCTAGTTTCAGGTCCACGTACTTATTTTGCTTGTGTTGGGTCTTTTCTGTGATTGTTCCTGGAGTGCATACGGTTCCTTCACCAAAATCCATTCCTCGTTTTTCTTGTCATGCACACTAATGTCAGGTCTGTTTGCTCCGTCTTTTGGGGATTTCTCTACGTGCCATGGGATGTGCCATAGAATCTTGACATCGTCATCTTCTTGACTAGGCTGTGGTATAGATTGCTTGTACCATGGTAAAAAGTGATTAGATTGTTCATGTCCATATTTGTTAAGTAATGCGTGGTAGATAGGGCGTAGCATTCTGTCGTGTCTTTGTTTGTATAACGTTTGTGCTAACTTGGACCAGCTTCCGAGGATGTGTGAAACAGTTTCCTGGTTCTCCGAGCAGATTCGACAAGTTAGGTCGTCTACGAGTTCTTGTAGTTTGTGCATTCTATACGTTTTTGTGTTTAACAGTTGTTGTCTAATTAGAGTGTCGTCTGATAGAACTGTCTGGTACATTCTTCCACTGCTTGAATACGTCATAGGTGGAACGCAGTGGCGGATCTAGGGGTGGGTTTTGGGGGTTGCAGCCCCCCCTATGAGAGCCATCGTAATTTTTTTTTTTTTTCATGACAACACCAACAGCATCGCGAGTTTTATTAAAACAGGGGTGCCTTTTTTTTCTATACGCCGTGTGTGGGACCTGAAACAACCATGCCCGCCTGCAGCAAATAATCATTAACATAAGACCTACTTCCGTTTGGGAGCCCTGTGCTACTTTTCCCGCCAAACAAGTACCTCAATCAATKCTACAAAAAAATCCTGGATCCGCCCCTGGAACGTGATATTTCAGGGTAACCATTATTATTATTACTTTTTTTGTTTTGTTTTTGTTTTTGCTTTTGTTTTCCTTTTGTTTTCCTTTTGTTTTCCTTTTGTTTTCCTTTGTTTTTGATTTCCTTTGGTTTATTGTTCATATTTTTCTTCAATTTTTTACTTTTTGTTTCTTTCATGCTTCTTMTTTTCACTTTTCAGTTCGCTTTTCTTTGTTCTTTTTCCTATTTCCCTTTCTTTGGAAAAAACTTGATCAAGCCTTAAAATACAGTGGAACCCCGTTAATCCAGCCACCTAAGGGACATTCAAAAGTAGCCGTTTTAACGGGGTGATCGTATGTATTAAGCAGGCTGTCAAAAATGTTAAAAACGTGTTTTATTAATCAGTACGAAACTACTAAAAAAATTAAGTGCAATAATGCATACTGTATTTTTAAATAAAGTTTCTAAAACTTTTGATGCTCTTGGAGCTCAGTTATAACTCAACTTTAGTTAGTACTTTAAAACTTTAAATTATACGAGTAGTACAGGACCGTAGATATAACAGTAGAACAGAGAAAACTGAGTACAGTAACAACTACTT